CTAAAATCAGGCCCATGTATTCCAGGCAAAGATTGTTGAGCGGATTTTTGGAAGTTAATCACCAAACCGAAAGTATGAAACATCTGAATTGTCCTGTGGACATTTGCAGATAGCTGGAAGGAAGAGGGGTCCTCCAGAAGGCCATCTAGATAGCCTGTGACCTTGATGCCCCGAGTTCTTGGAAAGGCAAAGAAGAAGTGTGTAGATCTTTGTGAATACTCTTGAAGCAAAGCAAAGGTTAAATGGCAGTATGACAAACTGGAAGTATTGTCTTCTACTGCAAAGCATAGAAACTGCTGATGAGGTGGATGAATGGGCATTTGCAGGTAGGCATCTGGGATTTCTATAGATGCCAAGTATGTCCCTTGTCTCAGTGAGGCAATAACTAACCTTGTGGATTCTATGCAATTTGGAATTTGAAGGTATTTGTTTAGGAATTTTAGGTCCAGGACAGTATGTATACCCCTGTTGGGTTTTGGTACTGTGAACAGGTTTGAACAGAATGCTTTGAACCAGTTCTGAGAAGGTACTGGCACAGCTACAGAGAAGGAAATAAGTATTTGATCCCCTGCTGATTTTGAATGTTTGCCCACTAACAAAGAAATGGTCAGTCTAAAAATCAAATGGTAGGTTTATTGTAACACAGAGACAGAATAGCAACAAAAAATTCAAAAGAAATGCATGTCTAACAAATTATGCACTGATGTGCATGTTCATGAGGGAAAAAAAGTATTTGATCCCCTATCATTCAGCAGGATTTCTGGCTACCAGGTGTCTTTCATACAGGTAACAAGCTGAGATTAGAAGCAGTCTCTTAAAGGGAGTGCTGCTAATCTCATTTTGTTACCTGTATAAAAGACACCTGTCCACAGGAGCAATCAATCAGATTCCAAACTCTCCACCATGGCAAAGACCAAAGAGCTGTCCAAGGATGTCAGGGACAAGATGATAGACCTACACAAGGCTGGATCGGGCTACCAACCTATCGCCAAGCAGCTTGGTGAGAAGGTGACAACAGTTGGAGCAATCATTCGCAAATGGAAGAAACACAAAATATCTGTCAGTCTCTGTAGGTCTGGTGCACCATGCAAGATCTCACCTCGTGGAGTGTCAATGATCAATGCTGCCTATGACCCCAAGAACACCATCCCAACTGTCAAACATTGTGGTGGAAACATCCTGCTTTTGGGAGTGTTTTTCTGCTAAGGGGACAGGACAACTGCACTGCATCAAAGGGACGATGGACAGGGCAATGTGCCATCAAATCTTGGGTGAGAACCTTCTTCCCCCAGGGCATTGAAAATGGGTCGTGGATGGGTGTTCCAGCATGACAATGACCCAAAACACATGGCCAAGGCAACAAAGGAGTGGCTCAAGAAGAAGCACATTAAGGCCCTGGAGTGGCCCAGCCAGTCTCCAGATCTTAATCCAATTGAAAATCTGTGGAGGAAGCTGAAAGTTCGAGTTGCCAAACATCATCCACCAAACTTTAATGACTTGGAGAGGATCTGCCAAGAGGAGTGGGCCAAAATCCCTCCTGACGTGTGCAAACTTGGTGGCCAACTACAGGAAACGTCTGACCTCTGTGATTGCCAACATGGGATTTGCCACCAAGTACTAAGTCATGTTTAGTGAAGGGGACCAAATACTTATTTCCCTCATGAACATGCAAATCGGTGCATAATTTGTTAGACATGCATTTCTTTTGAATTTTTTGTTGCTATTCTGTCTCTCAGTGTTACAATACACCTACCATTCGATTTTTAGAATGATCATTTCTTTGTAAGTGGGCAAACATTCAAAATCAGCAGGGGATCAAATACTTATTTCCTTCACTGTACTTCCTGGGACAAGAGATGGCTCAGGCCATGCTGCAAATTTGACTGTACTTCAATCCGACTGGGCAAATTTTGGCTGATTTGAGAGAAGAAAAAGGTAAGGTGGTGGAGTTTTGAACTCGGTTTTGTACCCATTTGAATGGCTAGCATTGGATGCAGAGACCAGTGTTAAAATAAGGTCCTGCTGTACCCATTTGAAAAAAGTAGAATTGGATGCAGAGTGTTAAAAATCAGGTCCTGCTTCGATGAAAAAGATGACTCGTTACTATAAAATGGAGTATTGTGTGAGACTTTGGCAGAACGAATGTTCCTCTGCGTTTCTGCTGTGGCTCCCTTTTGCCTGTTTTTTGCCATTGCTATGGGTCAGGGTAATCTCCTATGGATATTCACGGAGTGGGGTACAGAAATAGAATATGTCTGAGAAGGAACATGCAGCAACTGAGATCAACCTGTAGCAAAGTCCTCCTAGGAAAAGGGAGGGAGGAATAGCCGGATTATCTTTTAATGGGCTCTAGCCAGAATTGGCAGTAAGGTGTTTGACCTGTGGTGTGATATAACACCTCGTCATCCACCTGGGACTATGCTCTGAGTGTTTGGAATTTTCCACCTTTTACAGTGTAAACATCTCAAACTTGATGATAAAATTCAAAACACAGTCCCAGTTTCTTACAGCAACGGTCAGAGATACAAGGTAATCCAGTCTTGCCTCGCCACATCGCTGGTTCCTGTGTATGGTCCAGGCTTTGGCCATCACAGTGAGCATACCCCCAGAAGAATTTTTCGGGTCTGGGTTCCATAGGGATGGACCACAGCCCTGGACCTGTGCAGTACTCTGCAGCTAATTACACATGTTGCACAAAGTGCTGAGGTGATCACCCAAGGGTTCCCAGGGTTTAACTGAGTTTGCACTGATCCTGATGCACTGCTTCTATTGTTATATTAGAAGATAGTGAAGCGTTGATTGAAGACTGATTGGAGAATCCAAAGAAAATAAAATAAACTATTTAAGTTTCTCTCAAAAGGAAGAAGCCCATCACCTTACCACACTAGAAAAAAATGAGGACTCACGAAATGGGGTAAGGTTATAAGGAGGATGCCCAGGGGCGTATCATCAAAAGCTTGCCAGGGTCCAATCACTTGAAGTCTGGAGCTTATAACCCAGGCTCTATAAATTCTCAGCCTGTGTCCTGTAATGCATGATTAAGATAATACATTTGAGTATCTTAGGCTGGCCATACATGTCATTATTTTTCATTCAACCAGCGGATGAACGAAAGAAAAATGACTAGTTTTCCTCATCCACACATTCAGTGCGGATGGAGGAAACCCTCAGGTTGACTGTACCGAAGTTGATAGATAGATCAACTTATGTACAACCAACCAGCCTGCCTTTACAGTCCTGCTCAAAGTTTGCATACAGTGGTAAAAATTGTGAAATTTTGGCATAGATATTGAACATATAACGGATCAAGTTACAAAACTGTCTTATTTATGGATAGTGATCATATGAAGCCATTTATTACCACATAGATGTTTGGCTCCTTTTTAAATCATAACAGAAATAACCTAAATGGCCCTGATCAAAAGTTTACATACCCTGGAATGTTTGGCCTTGGTACAGACACACAAGGTGACACACACAGGTTAAAATGCCATTTAAAGGTTAATTTCCCACATCTGTGGCTTTTTAAATTGCAATTAGTGTTTGTTTATAAACAGTCAGTCATCTTTTTAGCTTTCACGTGGATTCACTGTGCAGGCTAGTTACTAAGCCATGGGGAGCACAAAAGAAATGTCAAAAGACCTGTGTACCAAGATAATGGGTTTTTTTACAGGAATGCAAAGGATATAAAAAGATATCTAAAGCCTTGAATATGCCAGTCAGTATTGTTCAATCACTCATTAAGAAGTGGAAAATTCAGGGATCTCTTTATACCAAGCAAAGCTCAGGTAGACCAAGAAAAATTGTGCCCACAACTGCCAGAAGAACATTTTGGGATACAAAGATAAACCTACAGGTAACCTCAGGAGAAATACAGGCTGCTCTGGATAGTGTGGTTGTTTCAAGGAGCACAATATGACAATACTTGAACAAAAATTAGCTGCACGGTTGAGTTAACAAAGAAACCTTTACTGCACCAATGCCACAAACAAATCTTGGTTACAATATGCTCGACGACACCTTGGCACACCTCACAGCTTTTGACAGACTGTAATATGGAGTGACGAGACCAAAATAGAGCCTTATGGTCACAACTTATGTGCTATGTTTTGAGAGGGTTCAACAAAGCCTATAGTGACAAGAATACCATCCCTACTGTGAAGCATGGCAGTGGCTTAATAATGTTTTGGGGTGTGCAAGCTGAAAGATGAATGCAGCATATTATCAGAAAATACTGGCAGACAATTTGCATTCTTCTGCATGAAAGCTGCACACATGACGCTCTTTGGACTTTCCTGCACGGCAATGACCTAAAGCACAAGGCCAAGCTGGCCCTCCAGTGGTTACAGCAGAGAAAGGTGAAGTTTCTGGACTGGCCTTCACAGTCTCCTGACCTTAATATCATCAAGCCACTCTGGGGAGATCTCAAACGTGCAATTCATGCAAGACTATCAAAGACTTTACATGAGCGGGAAGCATTTTGCCAAGATGAATGGGCAGCTATATCACCTGCAAGAATTTGCGGCCTCATAGACAACTATTACAAAAGACTGCATGCTGTCATTGATGTTAAAGGGGCAATATACAGTACTAAGAACTAAGGGTATGCAGACTTTTGTACAGGGGTCATTTCATTTGTTTACTTGTCGCTATGTTTTCTTTTTATGATTGTGCCATTCTATTAGGACCTATAGTTGAATATGAATCCCATAAGAAATAAAAGAAATGTGTGTTGCCTGTTCACTCACGTTTTCTCTAAAAATGGTATTGCATATTACCAATTCTCCAAGGATATGCACACTTTTGAGCACAACTGAACAAGGATCACAATTCTGCTGGTCCGTGCTGAACCGGCCAAATTTTGATCCATGTATGGCCAGTTTTATTCCCGGACCATAAAAAAATAAATAAATAAATACAGAAAATATTTTTACAAAAAAATTATGCATTTTGAAAATCTTAAATACCTAGTCTAACCAAATTACAGCCATTCATGTTACCTGGCTCCTGATGTTCTGGATGTACAGGTGGTGGATCAATTGCCTCCTGAAAAGTAATAAAAACTGCATCTGAAATTCTGCAAATATATACATTTGTCAAAGGCTTAACAGTAATATTTATCCATACTAACAAAACATTTGATGATATACTGCATGTATTAAATGCAATTTTATTTGCTGCATAGGGCCACTGTACATTTAGAGTAAAATTGTTCATGCACACACTCAACTGTCTACAGAACCGTTCTACAGCATAAAAGATCCAGAATGAAACAACTTCATATATGCATTAAAGCTTTGTTCACATGAATATGACAAATTATTCACATACAAACAACATTGTTTATAGCAGTTCTCACTATACCAAATAACTGCTGGGCTGACCTACAAAGAAACAATTAATTCACATAGTTGTCTGTGAAAAACTCTTATGAGGGCTAAACAAACAAGGATCCATCAGTGAAATTGGCTAGTGAATATTTTATGAAAGCATCACGCATAAAATTACCAATAAGCAAGGTATTCGCTTGTGATATCAGCAGAGCTAAATTAAAGCAATTACAGGCCCTGGATGGTACTTCAGTGCATAAGCTCCAACACTGCATTATTTCTGTGTGATCACCCACTAATATAATCATATTCCTTAATTTACTTTATTGTATACAAAGCATAAATATAAATGAAGTTTTGTGGATTTGCAGGGTATGCAATGTTAACTGAACATAAAACCTCCCAACCAATCTTATCTTCTTCCTTAAAGGATAAAGTCACTTTTTAACAAAAATAATAAATGCACATTTTTTTTGCAGGTAAAAAAAATGTACATTTACTACTTTTTGTATTGGGAGTCTGTAAAACATTGCACCAGCTATCAGCAGATCCCTGGTGTCATGCAGGATTTCTGCAGACCTGTCAGTGTATCTATGTATTTGTACCTCGTACGGGCAAACAGATACACGCTGACAGGAAAATCAATTAACTACCATAGCTCTCAACAGCACCGTGGTAGTTCATTGAGTACTACAGCCCAACAGCCATAAAGGCTGTCTGAACTTGTAGTTTTCCCATCCACAGAGTACTGTGAATAAGTGACGTAGGCGGGGGGGTTTGAGTGGAGCCCCACCTGGCAATGTTTTTTTTTTAAATTGTGACAGCTAGCAGGGGGAGAAGATCTTCCACTAGCTGCCAAACCGGGGGATCGGGGAGAGATGGCAGGGGCCAGTCCTTTCACAAAATGAATATGGGTGTAACATGTTATAACAGGTGAGCTCATCCTATAGGGAGGAAGGCCAATAAGGTCATTCTGGTACTGGCAACACCTAGCCAAAAGCACAATTTGTGAACTTCAAATTCCATAGGCCAAGTGCTGAAGAATAATGACAGCTATTAGGAGAAAGAGATAAGGCAAGCTCAGGTGTTGCCAGTGCCAGAAGAGCCTGCGTGATACAGGCCATAAACAGCATTTACGTCTCGGCATTTTAGTGAAGCAAATTAACATACTTTACTTGCTACACCCTTCATGTGGTTTTCAGCAAAATGATCCTTGCAATGTCACTGTGCCAAATATAAAGCACAGATGTATGAATCCAGCCTTCAGCTTGGTTTACAATTGAACAAATGCAGCACTGGGTAACAGAAAATGATGTCAACGCAAAATATACTGTAGTACAGCCAGGTACTGTGATCTGCCAGCTGAGCTTCTTTGCTTCTGGAACACTCAGAACACAAAGATCCAACCGAGCCTGGCTGCTCACACACTTCGCCCAGGACACTGAGCCACGGTAAGTGAAGTCTTGTCCTGCACGGATCATGAATTACCCTGTACAAAGTTTCACAGATACTGAGGCACCAGCCCACAGAACCTGTTCACACTACAACAGTGTAAACTTCCTGTCCATAGAGCTTGCAGCCTTTTTATAGCAACACAGCTCTGGGACTTACATATACTTGTCTTCTCCTCTGGGAATGTGTATACCCCCTGGACACTGGGTACACCCAACGCAGACTAATCCATCCTCTGCCATATATGGCTGGATACCTATTAAGCAGCTAGCCCTTCCGCTCACAGCCCGCTCAACTCAGCTCTTTATCGAGGGGAGGAGTGCACCTCTGCTATTGACTCCTCATTCTCTTTCAGCCTGGCTGCACAGGTATAGTGACATCACTAGCCTTGTTGGGCACACAGACCTGGCTGCTAGAGAGTTTTTTTTCAATCACCACAGCGGCTTGGCAACCACGAATTGCCCAGAGCCTGGCCTAGGGCCTCCTGTGCTCAGTCTCAATGCCATATATCTGCAAATTCAGAAGCACTGTTGCCTATAACTGCAAAAGATTTGGAGTTATTGCTTATTGAATGCATCTCCCTACTTTTATTCATTTATTTAGTGAATCTGTGCTTTCTCCATCTCTACTGCTCATACGTGAATAATAAACCACCAATTAACAGATCACCAGTCATCAGGAGATGACTCCTCTACTAAGAGTGTTGATTTGAAGCAGGGGCACAGTGCAGAACAAGGCATGCTAAGTCACTGATGAGGAAAAGATCATTAGCATGGAGAACACAGTCAATACCAGTGACTAGTCATTTGCCTTCTGCTTGCCTTTTTGGTCTCCACAGTTCAGATCCACTTTACCTAACACGAACCAAAAAAACATCATGTAATATGGCGGAAAACAACCTCTAAACTATTATTTTTTCAAATAAACATTCTGTGAGTGGGTAGATTACTACCATTCATAGTACGAAGGTGGAAAGCAGACACCAAGCACCTTTTCCCCTAGCTGAGAAATTATATGTATTGGTCAAAGCATCAATCGTCATTTTCACCAAAAATATTCAGTCAAGGGTGTCTGCTGCTACACACTGACAAAACAAATGTAATCCAATACAGCAAAACTTTGCCAGTGGTTCACTTATGTGTATCGATACCCTAAACACTGACCTAGCTGCTTTATTCTCGTAAGCCAATGAAAGGACTGCTTTAACTCAAGGCTAGTACAGTCAATCTAATGAACTAAAGAAATAAAAAGAATACGGTCATGACATCTTTCTTTTTCATGTGACAAGTATTGTTACTTACAGCTATTGTATGTCGCCCACACTCAATGCTAACAAGCTTGTGGCATTTTTTATGAACCAACAGCTTACAGTTGATACATTTATAACCTTGCCGTCCTAACCCCCATATCCGGTCGGTGCAGATGGCACAGTGCGCTCGCTAGAAAAAGAGAAAACACATGAAAACATTTAGTTTCAACAGACTGTCTGCATAAGACTCCTACACAGTCAGCTGCCTGCAGTGAATATAGAGAGATCAGACATAATGACTACACAGTACACAATAACATTTTAGGTTTGCAAAAACATGAACCTTAATACATGCACAAATTATAATTTTTTATGAGCTTACATGTGCTTATTTCAAACTGTAATATGTGCAAGAAACACCTCTTTCAGTAAAAGCTCATGTGCCAGATGTTAAACAATTTCTACCTACTATCTCAAATACAAATTATAGAAACAAAGCACTCCTCAGGTTGAACTTGTTAAAAACTCCTTGCATCAAAATATGTATAAAAAAAGTCTAGCAATGTGTTTAATATATTCTGAAACAGCAAAAAGAAGCAATACCCACTCTGTTAAACCTCTTAGCTTGGAATGTGTGACCATTTGCACAGTAGAGCTTTCGCCACCTTCTTGCTCCACGTCTATAGATGGACTCTAATCATAAAAACAAAATATAATCAGTTTTCTTCATTTTATATATTTGTATTGCTTTAGTTTTACAGAGAAAGCCTTGACAACAAAACAATAACACAGTCTGTCACCTGCTATAAAAAGGCCTCTATCAAGGGTCATTATTTTTTATTTATATCAGCTATTTGGGGAAGGGGGTATTACATAAAATATTTAATATAAATTTTTATTCAAATTCAACTTGTGAAACAGGGTTAAGTTGGGTTAACTTAATTAACTTGGTAGGTGATATAGCACAGCATCTCTCAACCTTTTAAACACAGAGGAACCCTTGAAATAACTTTCTGGTCTCAGGCAACCCCTGCTAAAAATGACTATAGTATATACTGTACAACTCATGATACATTATCAGTGGGAAGAGCATTCCTTACACTTATGGTCAATGGGAAGAATTACCCTCTTACAGATAGCGAAAAAGATCAATGGTGCTAGTGGGAACTTATCTGAGTGGCAGAAATTGCTCATTGCTCGAGGAATCCCTAGCAACCTCTGAAGAAACCCTAGGCTTCCATGAAACCCTGGTTGAGAAACCCGGATATAGTACACGAAAGGGTCCAACCCTAAAGTATTGCCATGTATGCATAATCTGGCTGCTGAATGACCTTTTCTGCAAATGATTGTTTTACACATTACTATGGCTATGAAGGTTGTGATTTTACTTGCAGCTATTTAAAAAAATACTAGGACAAGGAGTCTGTATGTGACAAAGCTACAAAATTACAGGAAACAAGCAAGAAGAGTATTATTATTGCAAAATTGGTTGTAGAAAATGAATTCCAAGATTTCTGATCCCCTTTTTCACAATGAAAGCATAATTGAGGGACAACATTATACAACTCCTCATTCACTTCCAATAACACAACTCTAATCAGTCTTTAGGGCCCTGCCATCTTGTGTTAGGAGACCATGGCGATCTACAGTAACTTGATAAGGTCTCTAACTGGTAAAGGATCGGTCTGGTCGGGCAACTGGTTCGTCAGACAAGACCACTTAAGAGGAGAGTTCTGATCTGAGGAAAAGACAAGTGATCGGGAGGGACAAGAGGACTGAACTGACATCACATGTGAGTGCCTCAACCATGGACACTTTAGAAGGAATCTCTAATCACTGTGAAAACACTACAATTAAAGTGGTTGTATATCCAGTAAAGTGACTGGCCTCAGGTGATACACAGAAATTAAACACATCCTTTTACATAAGTTGTACCTGTTTATCTGCAGTTTTCTCTACATCTGTTCAAATTACAGAATTTGCACAGGATCTCTCAGCTCTGAAAAGCAGGGGGCAGGGAGCTGAAGTTACAGTTAGTCAGGAGAGCTCTGGGAGCTGATTGGAGGGAAGGGACACACCCCTCTTTCACACAGCACACAGGAACAGAACTGAGGCTGTCAATCTCCCATCACCACTTTTCTCTTGATGTCAGGAAAACATGTCAAAACTGTCTGGGGATTCTTCCTCCCCATTGGCTCCCGCTGCTGTCAATCACAGTCAGTGAGCCAATGAGGGACAGCGGGGGGTAGGGCCAAGCCATGGCTCATGTGTATTATGGACACATACAACCACTTTAAAGGGTATGTAACTCCTAGCAATGAATTTCTCTTATTTGGTCTGTTTTGGTTTAATATACCATTGGACATAATTTGTTATTTCCGTTTAACCACCTGCCGCCCCCCATATAGTACAATGACGGGCGCAAGGTGGTTCTCTCATTCATTCTAACCGCGCATGCGTGGCTCCGGGAGCACGCAGCGCGGTTATCGGTGGTGCGCTGTGTCCCTCGGACACAGCGGATCACCGATCAACGGAAAGAGCTGAAGATGTTGGCTCGGTCATGTGATCAGCTGTGTCCAATCACAACTGATCACATGTAAATAGGAAACTGCCGGTTATCGGCATTTCTCTCCTCACGAGCTGTCACGCTGACTGCTCGAGAGGAGAGACGGTAATCGGCATCCCTCAGAGGGGACATCTACACTGATCATCATGGCACTAATGATCAGTGTGCCCTGATGATTTGTGTAGCTCCAGCAGTGCCACCTGTCAGTGTCCTTCAGTGCCAGCGCTCATCCATGCCACCTGCCAGTGCCCATCAGTGCCACATATCAGTGCCTACCAGTGCACATCAATGCCACATATCAGTGCCCATCTGAGCTGCCTTTCAGTGTCACCCATCAGTGCTAGTCAGTGCCACCTATCAATGCCCGTCAGTGCCGCCTAATAGTGCCCATCAGTGCTGCCTATCAGTGCCAGTCAGTGCCGCCTGTCAGTGCCATATATGAGTGCTGCCTTTCAATGCCCATCAGTGCAGCCTAATTAGCGCACATCAGTGAAGGAGAAAGATCACTTATTTACAAAATTTTATAACAAAAATTAAAAAAATGTTTTTTTTTCTAAATTTTCAGTGGTTTTTGGTTTAAGAAAAAATAAAAAAAAACCCAGAGGTGATTAAATACCACGAAAATAAAGCTCTATCTGTCTCAAACAAATTATAAAAATTTCATCTGGGTGCAGTGTTGCATGATCGCGCAATTGTCATTCAAAGTGTGATAGCGCTGAAAGCTGAACATTGGCCTGGGCAGGAAGGGGGTATAAGCGCCCGGTAGGCTAGTGGTTAAGTGCAAAATACCACTTGACATAGCAAAAAATCTTATAGTAAAAAGAAATTTTAACCCTCTATCTATGTTGACCCTAATTATCCACACTGTTGTCAGCTCTTAGGTCAAAAAAGCTTGAAAAGAAAAAACAAGTACAGCCACCACATTCAAAGACTGCTGCAATACATAAAATTTTTGTTTTGGGTTGGCTAAGAATACACAGCAAGAATTTGTGTTAAACACACCTGTATGGGTCATGCAGTCTTCTGGTGTGTGCTTAGTGGAAATTAAATGCAGCAGTGTATACTAAATCTGAGCTCATAAAACAAGATATATTATTTCCAAACTAACCAAGAGGAAATGCACCTAAACACGGTGAAAACATAAAGCAAAATGTCAGTGTGCCCAAAGGGACCCGAATTCAAAAAGTGACAATTTGCTATGTTATAGAGAACATATTGAAATTCTACTTGTGCCTAAGAATTACCCTGAAAGATTTACCTATTCTCTGGAGCAGTGTAGTGTCCTTCGTGTGCTCAGGTACCCCTGTTCCTACAGCCCCATGAATGTACCTCAGCAGTGTGAGATTCTAATGCGCTATGCCTGTGACTGCTAGTCTCATGGAGCTCCTGAAAATCCTCACTTTTTGAAATCAGGTCCACTTTACTAAAATATTAAGATCTATTTTAAAAGAAAGCATTGTGAAATAAACCACCTGAAACTCCCTGCACAATAGCACCAAGACTGGGAGAGGGAGGGGCAGCGATATGACCCAATCCACCCCTGTCCATTGCACGTTATGCTGACAGGTAGAGGGAGAAGGGAACTGATCTGACTCATTAAATGTGCTGCTGCACTTTTATTTTTCAACCAGCAGGCTGAGGGGTGCGTCAAGGTCCTGGCAGTGCTCCCTGGATCACAAGGATCCCTCAACATAATTAAACGTATTTCAGCTGTGTATTTAAGTGCTTGCCTGAAGTTTAGCAGTAAAGATTGGCATAAGTATCCAATGACACACTTTTTGGTCTGTCTTTTAACACATTTTGCATTCCTGATTGCAGTTCTAAAGGAGATTTCTACTGGCAACACAATAACAGGTAGATATTTATAAGCAGTGAATGTAACTGTCAACAAACATTTACTGCCTGTTATTTACAGCCATTTAAAACTTGTGCACCAGGAAGGTTCACCTGCAGTGAATGTTTGGCAGAAGTCACATTCACTGATTTAGAAATATCTCCCAAAGTGTATTGTCCCCCCAAATATAAATCAAACATGATCTGACAATGTTAGATGAATGAAAAAATGGTAGGACATCATCACTTTGCCCATTGTAAATATGTATAAACAGCACAAAGCATACTTACTGTCCTCACCAAGGCAGGGCATTCCGGGCCTCTCAGGGGTACAAGGAAACACTGTGAACATAACATGGTGTTTATTCAGTTGTAAAATCATTGCATGGCTACTGATACATGCATACACAACCCTATTCTCTGTAAAATATATCTAAAGTACATTAATAATTCCATATTATTGTCTTACCATCACCTTTATTTCAAAGCTAATATCCAATATTTCACACAAAATAATTTTCTGCGACAAACTAACCGCTTGTTATTGATTAAAGTGACTTTGAATAAATATAGTATTTGCTCACCATGAATTAGGAGCTCAGAGTCTTTATTTAGCTCATACAACCGGAAAGCTTCTTCCAGCTCCAACTGTGAGGAAACAGTGCATGGATCTCCTGTTATTAAATACAGAGGGAAACACATTATGAAAGATATAGCTAAACTATCAAAGATAATAAAAATTGGATGACTTACATAGTTCTAATTTTAACACAAAAAAGCTGAAATACATGTATACATTAAAATACACGTATACATGGCTTCCATAAGAGTTTTTTTCTTTGTTTTAAATGAAGAAGGAGACCATGAGTTTTTAAAGCAGCTCTAAACCATAACTAAACTAGTTTGCCAGAGCACTTTGTATCAACCACTGATTTGTTTTTCATAAAATACTGTTTCACCAGTTTCTCATCTTCTTACGGCTATTGGCCTTCAGCCTCTCTGCACATCATTGCTCAGTACTGATTTACTAACAGTGACAGTGGTATACCACTGGTGCCTGTGTGTTGTCATGACCACCTTAAGTCGACACCAGAAGTCGATGTGACAGGGTGACAATGAAAAAACATCAGTTGGAAGATGGTTGTCACACCATAACAGGAATAGCCTGAACAAAAACAAAAACTGGGCCACTAGGTTTTTTTCTTTTAATAAAAGCTGCACAGTTAAACAGGTTAAAAAACATTTCTGAAATGATGTTAAAATGTTTGAACATTTGAGTGAATTGGTTTTAGATCTACTATGAAAATTACAGGATCCAGGGTGCTATCCTGATCTATGTTTTACTAGGACACTTAATAGGTATGTACTTCATCTGGGTCAGTGACTCACAAAGAAGAAAAAAAAGGTTGGGATGACAGCCCTGGAACCAGCACCCTTAACTTTCAAGTGAGCAATATGTTTTATTATCTATGTCTTGGCAGTATCCCTTTAATATAGTGCTATGTTAATATCACATGCCAAAGCTACCGCTCAAGGCGGTTTTAAAGTGCACACCTGTGCCCAAACTATGGACTATAAAGTATTTACATATTCTTAAAGTAGAACTATAGGCAAAACATTTTTTTTTCATTTTGGTTAGAGAAGCCATCTGTGTCCTATTGGGGATATTTCCCTTTACTTCCTGTCCTATAGCCTAAATAGAAAGTGAAAGGAAATCCCTCCAAATTAAGGAAATTTATTAGGTCCTCCTAGGTCACCAGAACTAGAGTCTCATTGGAAGATTTCCCCTTACAACTTTTCTGGAGACAACTCAAATTTGGGATCGTGTTTTACTTTCACTTACAATGATCACAGTAAGCAGGATGAATAAAGAGGGTGAATTTCCCTAATGGGAACACAGAAAGCAATACAAATCTGTGCAGAGCACCACGCAGAGCATAGAGCTGCATGTTCATATTTTGTACTAGCGTGTAGTAGCTCCATGTAGGCAGCATTGATAGATGAATGGATACGCATCAGCTGTACAAAATCATTCCCACAAATGGGTCTGAAAAAGTACAGATCCATAGTCCCTGACACTGGGCATCCATCCCTGGCAAACTTGCACGCAGCTACATGCTAGTACAAAAAATAGAAAACGGTTCTTCACACTGTACAGGGAGCTGCGTCGGTGTGAATGAGCCCTATAACCCAACTTCAGTCTTGTGTTTTTCGAGAATTAATTACCTCATAGTGCATGCAGTTAAGAGACTTCAGTGATGGCTTGTTTAAAAGCTCTTTTGCTGCTTGTTAGGAATATGTAAATCATTTTTCTTTTTAAATATAATCCAGCTTAACCGGTGTACTGGTGTCATAACATGCACTATTTTGCCAAAAGTATTGGGACACCTCTCCAGATCACTGGATTCAGGTGTTCCAATCACCTCCATGGCCAAAGGTGTATAATATCAAGCACCACCTAGGCATGCAGACTGCTTCTACAAACATTTGAGAAAAAATGGGTTGCTCTCGGAAGCTCAGTGAATTCAAGCATGGTACAGTGATAGGTTGCCACTGTGCAATAAGTCTATCCGTGAAATTCCCTTGCTTCGAAATAGTCCACGGTCAACTGCTAGTGGTACTATAACAAAGTGGAAGCAACTGGGAACAACAGAAACTCAGCCACTTAGTCATAGGCCACGTAAAATGACAGAGCAGGGTCAGGGCATGCTGAAGCGTAGAAGTTACCAACTGTCTGCAGAGTCAATAGCTAAAAGATCTCCAACCTTCATATGGCCTTCAGATTAGCACAACAGTGTGTAGAGAACTTCATGGAATGGGTTTCCATGGCCGAGCAGCTGCATCCAAGCCTTACATCACCAAGTGTAATGCGAAGTATCGGATGTAGTGGTATAAAGCACACCACCACTAGACTCTAGAGCAGTGGAGATCTATTCTCTGATTAATCATTATGCTACTCTGTCTGGCAATCCGATGGACATGTCTGGTTTGGTGGTTGCCAGGAGAACGGTACTTGCCTGACTGCACTGCCAAGTGTAAAGTTTGGTGGAGGGGGGGATTATGCTGTGGGGTTGTTTTTCAGGGGTTGGGCTTGGCCGCTTCATTCCAGTGAAGGGAACTCTTAAGACATCCGCATACCAAGACATTTTGGACAATTTCATGCTCCCAACTTTGTGGGAACAGTTTGGGGATGGCCTCTTCCTATTCCAACATGACTGAGGACCAGTGTACAAAGCAAGGTCCCTAAAGACATGGATGAGAGAGTGTGGGATGGAGGAACTTGACTGGCCTGCACAGAGTCCAGACCTCAACCCAAGAGAACACCTTTGGGATGAATTAGAGCAGAGACTGCGAGCCAGGCCTTCCCATCTGACATCAGTGCCTGACCTCACAAATGCACTTCTGGAAGAATGGTAAATCATCCACATAGACACACTCCTAAACCTTGTGGACAGCCTTCCAAGAAGAGTTGAAGCTGTTATAGCTGCAAAGGGTGGGCCAACTCAATATTGAACCCTACAGACTAATATCGGGATTGCATTAATGTTCATGTGCATGTAAAGGCAGGTGTTACAATACTTTTGGCAATATAGTATATCTATAGATCAGAAATTTATATTTGTGGTTGTATTAATTTTCATTATTCAGAACATTTTCAGCAAGTACAGAAAATACCTGTTGATCTTGCTAAAATGCATTGCCCTTGTCATTTCCTGTGAACTGAAAGCACAATGTTATCTTTTTCTATAAATTTCTAATTACCAACGCCAATTTAAAGTGGTTATAAAGGCTCAAGGTTTTTTTTATCTTCATGTATTCTATACATGAAGGTAAAAAAACCTTCTGTGTGCAATAGCACCACCCCTTCCCCCAATACTACCCTGAGCCCCATCTCAATCCAGCAATGTACACTAGAGCAGCAGCTCTCCAGGGTATTTCCCTTGTCATTGACTCCCACTACTGTGAATCACAACCAGTTAGCTAATGAGGAGAGAGCAGGGTCAGGGCCGAGCCTTGCCCTGTGTCTAATTGGACAAACAGAGTAGCTGCTTGGGAGGGAGCCTGCTCCAGTGTCCCATAGCAAGCTGCTTGCTATGGGGCCACTCAGCAGGAGGGAGGAGCCAAGAGTGCTGGAGGGGACCCAAGAAGAGGAGGATTGGGGCTGATCTGTGCAAAACCACTGCACAGAGCAAGGAAGTAATTATCAGCCTTTAGTATCACTTTAATGTAGAGAAATACTTATTGACAACAATAGCTTCTTCCATAGATATAGCTGACTGAGTGAGCACAGCCACCCTAGGACAGGAAGTGTGCTATTTAATTAGCAGGCAAAAAATGAAAATAAATAACTAGGGTACTGATTTAGTGTCTAACAAAGCACACAGGAGCCTATCTCTGAAAAAAAAGAATACTGTACAGCCATCTCTATAGCAAACATGTATTGTAGGCTATACCTAAACTATAGGAACTCTATATATCACTCTAAGTTTAAAAAAAAAAAAAAAATTATGCAATATATTAGCATTTTATCTTCACTGATCCTTTAAACACAATTTTTCATATTGCAAATACTCATCCTTACATCAGATTTTTATTGACTATCAATGCACTGGCTTCCCTAGGAAAGTGCTACTATTAGAAGAGTCTTTGTATAAACCATTATCTAGAAAAAGAGTGAGTGTGTGAAATTCCTTTAGTTAACATATATATTCTTTAAGGCAATGAAGATATAATTGGGGAGTGTCAAATTACATGTACAAATTAACTCTTAAATCAAAGAGGGCCTAATAACAAAGTTAACATGTTAATGTGACACTTCATCAAATGCCAGGTAATACATGTCACAAGTCTGGAGATGAAGACCCAGGCATTTCCTTCTCCTTCAGTTGTCTATAAATAATGGCAAAGCTGGGTCACAATGGGGTGTTAATGGCTGGGAAAACATCACCATCTGACACAGCTTTCAAACACTTGATAGCAGGTACAGAAGCCCAGGGGAGACAATGTGATCTACGTGATCCTAGTGAAAATGAGCAATGCATTTTATGCCAGCTTTGTTCTATTCTATTTAACTGTTCTGGGGGAATAAGAGAAAAACAAAAAGGCTAACCAGGAATGAAGCAACTGCTCCCAGATTTAAGTACATTTAGTTTTGTGAGCTTGACATGTACATATTGACATAGATAAACTAGCAAGTATAGCAAGCATTTTGTAGCTTGAAGCTCAAAAACGTTCCATAAGCAAAAACCGGTTGTTTTCAATAGCCCTTGTTCACAACTGAGCAATCTGTCCCAGTCGCTCAAAAAAGTGCATCAGCTACTTTTCAGGCAGAATTGAGCATTTATGTCCCTTTAGACCAGTGGTTCTCAACCCTGTGGGTCGCGACCCTTTTGGGGGTCGAGCGACCCTTTTACAGGGGTCCCCTAAGACCATCAGAAAACACATATTTCCGATGTGTAAAGAGCAGCTGCTATGTAGAAAGCAGCTGCTGCTGAAAGTACTGAAAAGCAGCTACTCTGTTGAAAGCAGCTACTCTGTTGAAAGCAGCTACTCTGTTGAAAGCAGCTACTCTGTTGAAAGCAGCTACTCTGTTGAAAGCAGCTACTCTGTTGAAAGCAGCTACTCTGTTGAAAGCAGCTACTCTGTTAAAAGCAGCTACTCTGTTAAAAGCAGC